TCATCATCATTATCATCATTGTCCCAAGCATCATTATCACCTCCCTCCAAACACAATTAACTTTTTCTTTTGATTTTTGTTACGAACTTATGTACTTTGCCATAAATTTGCAAGCGTGCACGGATGCAAAGTCGATAATCAAAGGAAAATAAAAAATTAGAAAAATAAAACAAATAAAATGAAATTTTTAAATTTTCTTTCTGTGGTTTGATGAAAATAAATGAAAAAGTTTAAAAAGTTTACACTCCCTGGTGATAGATATTTTTTTTAAAATATTGATAGCTCAGAGTACCGAACAATAGAGATGAAACTTTTTAAAATTCTAAGAAAGACCTTTTTATATGATAAAAACTTTTGATAAAATTATCAGTTTTAAGGAAGAAGAAACTAGATTTGAATAAACAATGAAAACTCTAGTTTTAATGTGAATGAACGTTTTCTACATAGCAGATAAGGATATTTATCATCATCGTCGTCGTCATCATCAGCAGTAGTACCACTTTCATCATCAGTACCATCATCAGCAGCAGTACCACCATCATCATCAGTACTATCATCAGTTTCCTCCTCCTCATCATCATCATCATCATATTTATCATCACCATCAGCATCATATTCATCACCATCATCGACAGATGTTAGAAACATAGTTGATTAGCCATATTATTATTAGAATGACAGAAATTTATGGATTTTTTTTTATCAGAACGTAAACGAACGTGACGAGTTTATTCTGAAACAACATTATCAACTTTAGTGGCATTTTTTTGGACAACAATAACAAAATAATAACAGTGCTAAAGACTCTAACAGCAACAACTCCATAATTATTCAATGTAATGACAACAATAAATTCCTAAAACATTAGTGTAAGAACAATCAGTTGATGATACTAGAAATAAAATTGTTGAAAACGATAAACGTTAGCAAAGACGACAATGGCTACAGTATTTACGCAATGTCGACTACTACAATTACGCAACTACGGCTACAGCAACTTAGCGACACCACAACTGCACGAAAACGCCAACAGCAAGAGTAGCAGCAACAATAACAACGATTGAAATTTTCACTCTTTTGTTGAATCTACTCCATGTTGAATTTTTCTTTCTAACAAATAAACTTGTCTTAAAAAAACAGCAGCAGAAGCAACAACAGCAACAACAACAACAACAATAATAATAATAATAATAATAATAGTACCAACAACACCAATATCATAGATGAAATTTATAACAACAACAACAACCTGAACAACCAAAACAAGATTTTCTGGCACATCAATATGGCATGGTTCAAATAATTTCAATAGTGGGAAGGTCAACCACAAATAAACATCATCTTCATGGTCTAACGTCACTACTAAAATATCGAAATATATATCTCATTGGGCATCGTGGTGGTCTACTGATTAGAGGCGTGTGATCATGCTTAGCTTTAGCCGGGTTCGAACGCAGAAAGGATCTTTCCCATATTACATGCTCTGTGCTAGTGTAATAAAAAAAACTCTTAACTGAAGTGAATATATTATTATTTTTTAATGTGTTGTAATTAGAAATTATTTTAAAAAATATTAAAATGGAAATAATTTTTAAATTAAATTGATCGTATATTAATTTACGTGATGACAAAACTTAATGACATTATTATTTATTTATTTATTCATTCGCAAATAATATTTTTATTGAAATTAAAAACAGTAATAAGTATTAATGGCCGGATTGTCAACAATGGAGGAAGCGAATTCATCATCGGCCTCTGCACAATGTCGCCGCAAAAATATTTGTAAAAAACATTTCCTCCTAACATATTTTATTCATTTTTCACACATTTTCATTTTTCTAGTTATTATAATTTTTTTCTATGAACATTTTTTTGTTCTTTATTGCGTTTTTATTCATTTTATTTTGTTTTTTTCCCTATCAACAGTTTTTTTTCCACCGAAACTTTTTCCCTATTCAATTCGTCGGGCATTTAAAACGTTCCATTTGTATCAATATGTCTTCCTTTGTTTATCATTTGTTCGTGTAACTACAAGCTTTTGTACACCATCCTCACCCACTTTTTCCTTCGTTTTTTATTTCTTTTTCTCTTTTTTCTCACTTTTTTCTCTATATCCCTCCCTCTCTCTCTCTCTCTCTCTCTTTCTCTCTCTCTTTCTCTCTCTCTTTCTCTCTCTCTTTCTCTCTCCCTTTCACGCACATCACTAATTTTCCCCCAACAGTGCTTTTCAGCCGTCATATATATGTCATGTTTATGTCTGATAATAATTTTTTCCTGCCTGCAATAACGAGGAGAATCCAGATCAGATAGATGTCTTGAATATCTTTGTTTTTCTTCCTGGTTTTTCTCGTGTCGTTAGTGATAATATTTTGTAATCAAATTTTTATACTCTGTTGAATCTAGTGGGCAGGCAACTTTTTTGTTGCTTAAAAACTTCATTGGAAAATATGTTTGTTTATGTTGTTGTTTCCTTATTTGTATAAAATTTTCTAAAATGTTTTTGAAAAAGTAATTGCAAGTAAAATCTGAAAAAAATTTAATATTCAAACGAGCAAAGCTAAGCAAACTCATGGATACAATCTCTATCGCGCGCCATGTTCTCCCTCAACAATATGACCGAACACTAGCGTTCATTTTGTTTTCAAATCACGTGATGACTCGGATGAATGACGCCAGAGTTACGTCACGTATCCGGATTATTTTTTGCAATTATACTGACAGAATAATTGTATTATATATAAATAATTAGGCTTGCGTGTGTTTGTGTTTCTGCAATTCGTATCACGTTTTATATGTTTGTTATTTGTTATTCATTTATATTTTCATTTATTTATTAATTTTTTTATTTATTTATCGAAATTTTGTATAAATATTTTTTATTTAGCTCTATTGATGTTTATCTCGTGAGCGAATGCTTGTAGCATCGATAAATCTTCCAACATCTGTTCACTTGCAATATACTTTTTAGTTGTTTTCTTTTTCAATTCAAGCATCTTGGATCCAAAATATTTCTGCATCGTTATTTGTATTATTGCAAAAAACAAAATACCAAATTATTTCATTAACAATAAATGGTAAGAACTCTAATAAACTGCATGAATAAACATCATCGGTATTGAAATTAATTAAAAACATCTCGAGGATAATTTCAGGTTGTCACATAACTTTTATACAACATGAATACTTTCATATTGCTTGTTAGAAGATTCCACGTTGTCGAGTTTCATTATCGCGTTTCATATTTTAGTTTAACGCCAAGTATATTCCGTGTAACATCAATTCGAATTAATGCCATGTAGTGTAACGATTTAAACGTCTTACGTGAAATAGTTTATGTTTATGAATAAACATACAAATATTCATGCATGTTCATATTGTAAACATGGTGTGCAGGTGAATTAGAGTATACGTTCGCGCGTATGTAATGTAGGTAGGCGTAGAGATGACCACTCAACCACCTACCCACCCACCACCGTCGTACAAAACATGTGCACGCTCATGCAAGAAGTACTCAATAATGTAGAGTAATTTAACGGAAAGAGAGCGTGCGTTAATGGTATATTGTGCAAAGGATGACAGAAATACCCATAGTGTACACAGGCGTGTCTCTATCATTTTGTATTACGAATTTTGTGTACTAGCCTGGTACGAAACAATAATCGTTTTATGAGTATTATAATGTATATAACATTTTATTCACTAGAAAAAGTAGGAAAATTTGAAAATGTAATAATTTTTTCAAGTGACTTTAATCTGCTACAGAGGCGTGTGGGCATACGTGCAAAAAAGTACAGAAGAAACATTGTATGCAAGTAAGGTTGAAGTTAGAAGGAATGCTTGCCCCTTAAACATAGCCTGCAGAATGTTTATTGATGTGAACGATCTTTTTAAATTTGAACGCGTTTGTTTATATGCGTGCAGTTTAGATATGTTTGTTTAGTTTTTTTTATGTTCATTCATAAATTGTATGTGCTGTACGTGTGCCAGTGGGTGTAATCTGCTCGTATTTACGTTGTATACGTAATGATATTTGTCTATCAGTTATAAATAATTGAATGGGTTGAAAAAATGTGTGTATTTATGTTAGGTGTGAATGGCATTTGCATATGCAATATCTTTGAATCACACGACACACAAACACACATACACCCAATTTCGCAGGTACACACACACACACATTTGTGCGTGATTTTTTTATAAATAAAACAGAAACTTCACTCATGTGGAATGAAAGGTATAAGAGGAAAATATTGATAATGTAAAATGTGTTGTTGCATCCACACACTTTAACCCTGGCAAGGTGGACTGCGTCATTTTGAAGGAATTGATTAAATGGAAAATATCGTCGTTGTTTCTCTTTTTCCAAAAAATGTTTTTTCTATTTTTTTTCACCATCGTTGTAATTAATTTTTCCGCAACTTTTGAATTTTTTGATTATGTTTGTTTTTCTTTTTGGTTTGTTTGTTCTTCATTTCAGTAGACTCTTTTTCTGAAAAAATTAATTATTTTTTTAGAATAAAACGCCATAAAATTTGACGTTTTCGTAAGTTTGCGCGGTTTTATATTTCAATGAAATCGTCTGATGGGTCTATTTTAGTTTTACTGGTTCGCAACATGATAAAAGTAATGACAAAGATGTTAATAATTATCACTATTGTTAATTTTATATTATTTTTTCGCGTTATAGCCAATTTTTTTTTAGAAAAAACTTAACGCTATATCGATTCTAATTTAATCGTAAAATACATAAATTTTGGTTTTAACTGTATAAGTTAAAAATATAATACCAGTATAACAAGTTCTTTACAAGTATAATTAATTAGGATGAAACTTTTTTATGTTTATTCATGAATGTTTTTATTTTTTTATGTTTCCGTGGTGTTGTTGTTGTTGTTGTTATTGTTGTTGTTGTTGTTAAAATGAACAGTTTCTCCTTCTAAGATGCTCATATTTGTTTACATTTTCTGCCTCCAACATATAACAAGTATCCAGCTTCTGCTTCAATTTCTAATGACATTATAGAGACATCCGCTGGAAAATGAAACCATGATGACGTCACAGATGACGTCATGTTGATTACGATGGTGCGAATGATGATGTTGATGAGGGTGCGAATGATGAGGATGTTGATAGCGATGATGATGATGATCATGAATTGAGTTTTAAAATACCACCACTTTTTTACTAATCAACATCATCGTCCGTTAGCATTATTTTTTTTATCGTCGTCATCATTACAATCATTATTATCATCAGCATCATTATTTTTTCACCATTAAAGTCAATCATCTATTTCGTTGTCATTATCATCATCATTGTCACAATTTTATTTATCATAATAATAATAATAATAATCATCATCATCATCATCATCGAAATCATCTTCGTCGTCATCATCATCTTGAAAATGTAGCAACGTAATGTAGCACTCTTGGATGCAGTTTGATGGAGGGGGAGAAAATATTATCCGGATCTGCCGGATCTGGAGAAAAATTTAATTAAATTAAAAATCATCATTTCCTCATCTTTCAAGTATTAACTTAAGCGTATTTTTTGTTGTTGTAATAATAGTGTAAAATAGTGCTTGTATGTGTGTGTGTGTTTGTGTGTATATATATATGTGTGTGTGTGGTGTGTGTGAGTGTGTGTGTGTGTGTGGATGTTTCTGTGCATTTGTCATGATTCTTTCCAATGATTTTGTTATTAATTTTGTTTACAATATAATAATTAATTAATAATTAATTAATTAATACATTACAATAAATAAGATAAACAGCTATCCACATAATGCTATAGCCTCCATATCCCAAATGTCATTGTCATCATTATCATCATCCTCATCACTATAACCATCATCATCCACACGATCATCATCATCGTCATCATCTTCATCATCACTCACATCATCATCATCCAAATCATCATCATCACCACCACCATCATCATCATCACTCCCATCATCATCATCATCACCATCGTCGTCCTCATCATCATTCACATCATCACTCACATCATCATCATCATCCACATCATCATCATCATCATCATAACCATCATCTTCATCATCACCATCGTCATCATCGTCGTAGTTATCTGGTCTTACAATCGTTATGACGTATGGACATTCAGATGGAAGATTAGAGGCAACAGTCCTGTTTAACGTCATCTCTGCATTGGCCCGGCTTGGATGGAAAATTACATCTTCCGACATCCTTATTGCTTTTTTGTTCTTATTACTTTTTATTAATTTTATTTTTCATTCTATTTTTTGTCTTCTTCTTATTTATAATTATTATTATTTTTATTTGCATTATTACTCTACCTTGTTCATGCTAATTATCCTTACTGCATGCTGCTGTTGTTGTTTTATCATTATTATTATTATAATAATAATAATTATTATTATCATTATTATTATTATAATTATAATAATTATTATTATCATTATTATTATTATAATTATAATAATTATTATTTTTATTATTATTATTATGCACATAATAATATTGTATTTGGACACTGTCATTGTTTTTGAACCAGAGAGCTGCTTTTATGTAACTCACTGTTCATTTTAGCAGTATAAGTTTTATTGGCGTTTCATACATTTGAGTTTTATATCAAATTGTAGGATAATTTTTAGAGAAAATGGCTCTGCTTTTAAAATTAGGTTTTATCAAATTTTTTAACTTTAAAGGGGTTTATTGGTATAATTTTAATCTTTTTTAATACTGTAAACTCAGCAATTTGCCGGCATTGCAGTAAAGAATTTAACCTTTAAATAGACATTCCTAGAGAGGTGTACTGCACGGCTCTGTAAGTTGTAAACTCCAATAAAAATATTTCATCAGACAATAACGTAAACATTCCTTCAAATTTATTCGCAAATAGTAATTATATTTTACCTGATAATCCAAACAATCTGTTGCGGCAAACCTTGCAAGGGTCGGAAAGAACTCTCAATACATCAAAGAGTCTGTAAATTTTACAAATCTCTCAAGTCCACAAAGTCCGAAGTGGAATTAAACGTCAGCGAGGACAACAACTTAACAACATTCCAACACATGTCAACTCCAACAACTACTCCAAAACCATTACCTGGAATAAAACCGCCCAAACAGTCATCGCATTGGGCTGAAGAAGTCAGTGTACATGTAGAGGATTGAATGTAGATAGTTATTTTAAAATAAACATTTTTCATTTTTAATTATTAGTTATTAATTAGTTTTATTATTAATTTAAATATATCTATGTTTGAATTTAATTTGTTATTATTACTACTACTCCTTTGCTTTACTTGAGGACTGCACAGAAATGGAAATGGGGGTTGGTATAAATGCTGCTCGTTCGGAATGAGGGAGAAAGATGACACCTATGATCGGTTTTTGCCACGATTAACGATTGATAATGTACAAATCCTTAATGTGGAGATGTATTATTATTATAATTATTATTATCTTTATTATTATTATTATTATTATTATTAGATAAATTTTATGTTAATTCTTAGTTAATTAACTCAGAGAAGTATGAAGCATTAATGTTCCCACGCATGAAAGAGTTCAAAATGGAGATATCGAATATTAAAACGTAATTAAATAGTACTTTCATTGCTAATGCCTCAACAAATAGGTATAGTAAAATATTAGTATATTATAACTGTAGCTACTCAAGTATCAGATGGAGTTGTGTGTCGTGTGTTGCCAGTGGCCATTGTAGTAGCGTCATAACTGTCGATTGTGGTTATTTAAAATTAAATTTAATAAGTAATTCCATCATTAAAATGCGTTTGCTACTGCTAATAACAGTCTTCACTATAATTGACTATATTGTTGTTATAACTCTGAAGTAGTAGTAGCGGCTGTTGTGTCGTCGGTGTGGCTTGTGGTCGTAGTAGTAGCACGTTAATGGCATTATCGATCGAGACGTAGTAGTAATTGTCTTGAGATTGGGGTCTTCAGATGCACTGAGTATATTTTATGGTGGAATCTGGCGGAGGAGGTAGCCATTGTAATCTGCAAAAATTATCCACGTCACTGACATCATCATGATCGAGGTTTATAACTTTACTGCGGTTGTTTTTCATTGTGCGTTTTTTTATGTTTGTGAACGTTTAGACACTCCCTCATAACTCACTCACTCACTCATTCTCTTATTCTTTTACTCATTTACACAATCTCTCCTTTTTTCTCTTTCTCTCTTTTTCTCTCTCTTTCTCATTCATTCACTCTAGGTTAGATCATGCGCAAATTTTATAGCATTTTTTGTCCCCTACAAAATTTAATGTTTATCTTGTTTTTTATGTATTTTGTTTTTTAGGTTCATTCAAATACCATTCGCACTTTGTAGAAAATTTTTTAATTTTTTTTTTAAATTTTAAGTTTCATTTTAAATAAAAATGTTTGTTTATAGCAACATTATTGAAGATTGCTACGAGTTGTACATTGTACATTCTTCGTTTTTCTTATTGACATGAAAGGCCAAGTAAGTTTGCCATACGTCGACTTCGACATACATTTTGCCCTTCTACAAAATTTTTATTTTTACGAAATTTATTTTGTATGGTTGTCGTTTTGTTTTTATTTTTATTCATTTATTTTGATTTATTCATTTTCATTTCAAAAGTTTAATGTGTAAATTTTCATTACAAATATTTATACTTTTTTCACTCACTCACTCGATCACTCACTCATTCACTCATTCACTCACTCACTCACTCACTCACTCACTCACTCACTCACTCACTCACTCACTCACTCACTCACTCATTCACTCACTCACACACAGACACATTTTTTTTACTACTCTCTCATTCTCTCTTTCTCACATTCACTTCTTTATCCATTTTTTTTCTTACTCACTCTTTCAGTCAAATTTTGACAGGCTCCTACTATTAATAGCCCCATTCATTGAAAATACGTTAAGCCGTGCAGAAGATTGCAAACTATAAATTATCTCTATCTCTTCATCGCCAATGTCCTTATCATTATTATGATCAACATCTTCGTCATCGTATTTGAAATTGTCGCTAACGGCTTCGTCATCTTCATCGTCGTCCTCGCCATCATCGTCATTTTCATCACCCTCCTCATTATCATTGTCTTCGCTATCTCCATCATCATTTCTATCATCATTATGTTTTTCTTCTTCTTGAAATTCATCATCGTCGTCATCGTCGCCATCATCATCGTCGTCATCATCATCATTGTAATCATCATCATCGTCACAATCATCACTATCATTTCCATATTCATCATCTTCTTCATCTATCCACAATGTCTTTTCTTCTAGTTTTCAAGTTTTTCGTCATCATTTTCATAATTTGTATGTGTACGTGTTTGCTGGGGTCATAATCATCACTATGGATATCATTTTTCAGAGAATTTTTAAAACTGCTTTTAGGAAATTAATTCAAACGTTATGTCAGTTTATTTATTTTTATATTTAAGAAAAAAAACGCTTAGATCAGCTTGAATAAAATCAATTTTTTTCTAAAATTTTTTTTAATGTTAAATTTGTTCAGAAAGATTTACATTTCTAAAAAATAATCAGAAAATTGTTCAAGCTCTAATTTCCTTGTCAAAAAATATCTCGTCAACGTCGAAAAACTAATTTCTCCGTAAAAAATTGATTTTATTTCAATTTATTTTTAAATTTTCCAACGTCACTTCTTTCCACTTTTGTGATTTTGAACACATTTTAACTGTGAGATTTAATTTTTTAATTTTCACAATTTAAATTGTTAACTTTTTTATTCAAATTGAAATAAATTACTTCCGGAATTCAAATTAAGAAAATTGTAGCGGTTTTTACATTTTCTGCCATCACCTTTGCACGTTTTAGCCATTATCACCACCACCATTATAATCATCTTTCCCTTCTTCCTCTTCTTTTTTCTTCTTAATATTGATCAGCATCATCGTCGTCTTCGATATAATTATCATTTCGTCATCTTTTGTAATCATTTTTTTCATCAATCAAATTTGCTGTCGCTTAAAAAGTTATCAGTCATTGTTTTCAACATTATCGCATAATCTTCACGTTGTCACTTAATCTCAAAATTTAAAATTAATCATCAAATGCCATCGCTATCATCAGCGTTATTAGTATCAACTTCGTCATTTGCCACCGTCATCACCATTTTCACTATATCATCATCATCTTCTTCATCATCATCGTCGTCATCATCGTCATCATCATCAGCAACAGCAGCAACAGCATCATTTTCATCATCACCATTATCACCGACAATAGTGTAGTATTAATAATGATTATATTTTTCATTATTAATCACCATCATTTTATTAATCCCCACTATAATCACTTTCCCAACCTCTGCAGCCATCATCATCATCATCATCTTCCTCTCCTCATCCTCATTATCATCGTCATCATCATCATCATCATCACAGGCCAGGCACCAATGAATCACAGCCACCAAACACTGAGAAGTAGTAATCGTTGTAATCTCCTTCTAATGCAGATTAGCGACTACTTATGAACAGGTTTCAGGTACCCGTGTGTTGCAAGTACTACGTCATCGTCATCGGTGACGTCATAGTCATGACGTCATCAGTGATGTCATCGTTTGTCGCCGTTCTTATCGAGTGAAAACAAATAACTGTGGTATGTATGTGTACGTAATTTCATATTATGTATATATATATATATATATATATATATATATATATATATGCGTGTACGTGCGTGTGTGTGAGTATGTGTGTGTGTGCGTGTGTGTGTATATATATACGTACGTGGGTATACATTTGGCAGTTTGTTTCCAGTTTTAATAAATGCAACGGACAAGGCGTTTACAACTTCAACAATCTGACACCAGATTGATGGATTTGAAACAGTGTGAATCAAATTGAAATATTAATAAAAATAACAAAAAAAACTATAATAATAACTATCAGAAAACAACAAAAATAACTACAAATCTACTCTGAATGAAGTTTCTAATAAAACGAAAAACGCGAGAATATCGATGAACCAACTTCATTGCCAACCCTATTGCCAACTTCAACTCCAACAACTTAAAATTGTTTGTTTGTTTAATTAACAAAGACATATCATTGACAAGACCTCGAACAACAACAGAAACAAAAGTATCAGCAGTAGTAGTAGCAGCAGCAGTTGTTGTAGCAGCAGTTGTAGCAGCAGCAAACACAGCATCTTATGAGTGACGTTATGCTCTGGTGACAAACGATTCGTTGTGTCACTCAGGCGCGTCAGAACATATGTCACGTGACCATAATTTATTCATCCATTTTTCTTTTCGCTCATTCTTCTCCTCATTCATTCATCTGTCAACATTTGTTTTCGCAAACTGCTATTCATCCATTCTGCTAACCACTCATTTGTTTCTGTCTTCATTCATTTATTTTCCCCATCACTCATTCTTCCCTCCATTTGTCAGCCTTTCCTTTTTTAAACAGTTATTCATTCATTTTTCTCTCAACTCATTCTTCTCTTTTTGTCATTCATTCATTCATTCATCATTTTTTTTGTTTAAACGGTTGTTTATATCGTTTAATGCTTGTTCTAAAACATATGTAACAACCAAACATTTGAAATTTAGAGTTTAGGAGCAAGTTTAGAGAGGTAGTCACTTTTTTTTCATCACCAGTATTAATAACTTTTAAGTATGAAAATAACAATGATATTGATTTTAGAGAATGACAAAAGTATGAAAGACCAAACTTAGGTAGAACATTACATATGAAACTATAGCCAGCAACCGTGGGCAAAACAATTTGATAAATTTTACATAATAACAACTTGAAAAAACTTGCCGTACTAACAGAAAAAATCAGTGACATCAACAAAAATTCACCAACATAAATACAAGATATCATTTCTAACATTAATTTGTTGATGTCTGAAGCCATGACATTGTAAATAACCGTTGATGTCAGATCGGATAAACTTAATTGCAATGGGGCCACGTTAAACCATTCAATTACATTTATTCAATTGTGAAGCCTTGCACCGAGGTTGATAGCGTTAGCCAAGTTTAATTTCTTTTGAAGGGCAATCTCAAAAAGATAAATTTTTTTCTATGTTGTTTTTCAGTATTGTTGAGTTATTTTTTTGTTTAAAATTTTTTTTATATAAAAAACCCAACCCGTTTTAGCAAACAAATAGATTTTTTTTATTGATATAAAATCAATATTATTATTATTATTCATATTATTTAACTCGCTTAACTTAAAATGACGTCATTTTCAGCTGCGTGATGGTTATCGATTGCATCATCATTGGGTTGACAATCGAGAAATGTCATTAAACTTGATTGCACTGTTAATATCACAATCAAATATGCAGTCATGAACATTATCGTACCATCATCACTCTGTCTTCTATCATTTCTGTCATTCCATCATCGTCAATGTTTTATCTCTCCTATCTTTATTATCACTGATGTTATTGTGATATCCTTTTTATTGCCATGGTCAGCATCCTTCTTATAACAGTGGCCAACGTATAGTTATTTCCCGCATTAACATAAACTTAACGATTTCTTGAGCTATCTTGATTGCAATCGTGGAGATTAACTTCGCCATCAACTCAAACCTAAAAAAAAAAATTATTAGAAATTTTCCAAAATATAATCAAATATTCTCAATAAAAAATCTTGTTATCATTATTAAAATCATACCGAACAACACACAAACACACACACACACGCATGCAAACACACACACACACGCGTGCGCGCGCTTGGTACTAGTTTTAGCACTTCGGAGTTGGCTTGACACAATTATATTTTGCCGCCCGTGACGTTGATGACGTCGTCGTCGTTGGTGACGTGGCTGTTGTTGTTGTTGTTGAAACAAACAAACACAAACAAAAAAACAAACAACAGCAAGATGAATGAAGATGGAAAGTAGTAACGACTGCCGCAACATTAGTAATTGCTGTCGCATTAGCTGTTCGCGGCACGTACTGCTGACGTTGTCGTGACGTCATCAGCTTACGTCACAGTCACGTGAGCGGACGAAATGATGAAGAGAAATGTTTTAGTTTTTAAGTTTAAAACCGGTGATTAAAAAATAGACTGATGTATTGTAACATTAGTAGTATAATTTGCAGTAACAGTAATATAGCAGTAATGGTGTTTTTCTAAATTAATTAATTAATTTAATTAAATAATTTGAAAAAAGAAATAAAAAAAAGAGAGCAATTAATTTGAAAATGAAACTCCTAGGAACGTGTGCATGATCGGACGATGACTCCATGAACAACCGCTGATACGATTAAACAGGAGCTAATCCAGTTTCCGCTAGTTCCTCCTTTGTTTTTCTTTCTATATAAGTTTTTTTTATTCAATTGTTTTTATTTTTAGTATTTCTTCGATACTAACTTTTTGATAGCACACACCGCATCAGCACGTTCTAGGCAACTTGATTATCGTTGGTAGCAATATTTACAGCAATAATTTTAATAGTAGTAATAGCGGGAGTGGTAAAAGTAGTATATGTCCTAGTATTTTTGTCTACTTGTTTTTTAATTCTGTTTTCATATTGTGTCTATGGCTTTTTATAAGTGCGTTTTTTCATGCTTTAGTATATTAAATTTATAAAATCTTTTTCATATTAGTATCTTTTTTATTCACATTGTTTCCGCGTCGTAACCATGGAAACTAATCAAGATGTCCCTTACTATGGCGGAGTTTTTATTTCATTATTATATTTCCTCCATTGGAAGCCTGCTAGAGTTATTAATATCGAAAGATTGTTTCTGGGATTGTTGTCTGCAACCGTCATCAACAGATTATCATTTTCCTCATCGTCATCTTCGTCATCATCATTGCCGTTATCATTATCATCATCATAATCAGTACCAACGTTGTCATAATCACTTTCTTACATTCCATCATTGTTATCAGCTATCCTATCTGTTGTGATTGCCTCGCTGTTTTTATATTTGTAACAGCGTTCTATGCGCGGTTTTCGGACTACTATTACTACAACTACTACCACCGCTACTACTACTACTACCACGATTACTACTACTACTACAACTACAATTACTATTACTACTACTACTGTTACTACTACGACTGCTACTACTACTACTACTACTACTACTACTACTACTACTACTACTACTACTACTACTACTACCACTTCTATTTCTACAACTTTGCTGCTGCTAATATTGTTTATTTCAACATGTAAGCTTCGTCATCGTTTGGTTAGGGTTAGGGTTTTGTAACGTCACTTTGGTATGGCTTTGTTTTGGCGTCAGTTTATTTTTCCAGTAATTTATTTTCTGTTTAATAACAATTTTTTTGTCTTTCTCTTCTTTCATTTTCTCAGGCGCCAGCTTGCCGATCAGTAATGTATTGAATTCAATATCTCAACGCTCGTTTAATTAAATATTTTCCCGGCCATAAATAATTTTAAAAATATATTCGGGAAGGAAGCGTAACGAGTGGGATGAAATTTCTATTTTTAGCCATCGCTACAAATTTTTCAATCTAATTAGATTTTTAATTGATAATCTGATTTTATTTTAAAAATAATCTGTCTCAATGTTTGTTTTTGTAGTGATACATATAACAATTTTTTGTTGAGTTTAAAATTTGCGAGCAAAAATTTTTTGAAGAAGAAAAAGTTCAGAAACTTCTGAATTTAATTAAATAGCCGAAGTTCGCAAATACAACAATTTTTAATTCGTTACACTGTTCGATAAAAACAGAAATCGAGGGTAAAGAGAAAAATGACAAAAATAAGGAAATGAAAATAAAATGTCAAAGAGTGACAGTTAAATTTTAACGTTCATGTGTGGTCGGCGCCGAATTTTTATTTCGTGACTTTAAAAATGTTGCAGTTGGTGCCTCGTAACATTAGTAAGACTATTTTCCTCTTCAATCTTTAGAATTTACTTTCTCTTTTTTCAGTATTTTAGGTTTTTTTATTGTTTTATCCAAGTTTTTAATTTGAACTTTAATTGATTAATAAATAGTTTGTTTAAAAACATTTGTTTTTC